CACCAACACATCTTTATACTGTGAAAAAAAAGATTCCGGGAAGTGTTATAAATGTTTCGCAAATGATTCAGGTAATCTAAAATCAAATAAAGCAGCACCAAGGAGGAAGAGCAATTTCTAGACAGCCATTGTATACAGCTCTCATTTTCAAATTCAGGAGCAGAGCAAAATGCACCATATGCACCAAAAAGTCTCATCTACTTTATGAAAAGACTTCCTAAAACATACTGAAGAACATAGCTTAAGCACACATCCTGCTCTTCATATCAAGATAAGAACAAAGTAGCAGACTAACATTTTCCAGTCAGTGTTAATAGAAAACAGATGTCTGGGCCTATAAAATGCACCTTTCATTCAACTTGTAAGCAACATTATCTCATGTACCTACAATTGGAATCGTTTTAACACAATATTCTTATTTAAAAAAAAAAAAAAAAAAAAGGAAAAAAAAAAAAAACCACTTCTCATGTTGCAAACAGACATGAAGAAAAGTCTCCAGACATCTCTCTAAAACCTTAATTTCACATATCAGTACAATGCAAGTGTGCATAACACGAAAAGTCTAATACAATTGCAAACAACTGTAATGTACTTAAAAGCATCATGGCATTTACAATAAATGTAAAACATATTAGCATTTTGATCAATTTTATATCCTTCCCAACAGATTTTTTTTTAAATCAATTTTATAAACCAGATTCTTCAGTTTTCACTCATGTAAAATATTCAGCTAGAGCTTAAGATTATGAAACATAGATTATATTTGTCAATATATAAGTATTAACAAAGTTAATAGTAAAGCAATAGAATGAAGAAAAAAAAAAGATTTATTTTTTTTCTCAGTAGAGAAAATATTCTCTACTGAGAATTCACTCAGTAGAGCATATTAATACAATAGAATAAAAACATAAAAGAAACAGGAACATGTCTGCAAATATTGACAGTAAATGGAAAAGGATGCATTATTCCATGCCCATATTGACCACGAAAGTAGTAATTTCTAGGAAAATTCATATTTACCACTATTTTCTCTGTTACAATTTTATTATGAAACTTACTAGAGAAACTACTAGAATGGAAAAACTGAACATCAGACATCTAAAACTAAGCTTTTAGCTAAGAAAGCTAAAAAGGCCCTCCTGTTATCCCTTCACTTTGCCTAATCTAACGTGCACATTTCTTTCTTTTAATCTTTGTTATTACAGTTACAAACACTTAATTTCTGTTCGAGAATTATTTCATCCCTGTTTGCTGGTTATTTCCTATCAGAATTTTAAATCCATCTGTTCGCTACTATTTTTCATAGCAACTAAAGATATAAAAAAAAATGTATAGATAATATGCACTCCTTGTCAATACCTTCTGGCTTTTGTCATTACACTGTCACCACTGTGACATAAAACACCTTCTTAATCCATTTTTGTTAGGAATATAAACCAGTAAGGCAAAATAAATTAAAAGCTCTTAAAAAACTTCTAACACTAACAACCTTATAAAATGTGGTTAATAATAATAACAATAATAATATCCAAAGGCATGTAAATAGACACACCTCAAACCACCCCGCCCCCCCACCCTTTTTTTTTTTTTTCCCTTCTTTTAATTAAAGATATTTCCATGGTGTTTTTTTAAATATACTTTTTTCCCTACTTTCCTCTCTCCTGCTAGTTTCCCCAAAATGCCTAGGGCTAATAATGACAAAATAGAACCTACCTTCATTGAGTACAGATAACTAAACCTAACCCTAAATTATTGAATCTCTCATAAATGGCACTGTTAAATTTGTATTTGATGCCAATAAGACTGTGCTACTTAGAAAGTCTCCAAAGTGATACTAAATCAATTAGTTTCTAAGTATGTGGGCTTCACATACTAATCTGTTTGAACACTAAACAAGATCTGCGCTCATGCAACATATCATTATCCCTTTCCTAAATGCTGAACTGGCCTGTTTTCCAATTTAGCCAATGATATCATAGTTGTTCCAACCTGCTACAGCATTCTGAACCTATGGAATTAGTATCCATGCACATTAGAGTTATTAATGCTGCACTAGTTTTTAAAATAAGATTTAGAAACCAAGCTAACTAAACTGTGTACTACATATGATATTTATCACATTTTTTAAATAGTTTTTGCTGTCAAGTGTTGTGTTTGTGTACTGTCAGTTTCTTCAATACAGTTTTGTATAACAAGTAATAGTTTATCTTTTTTGTTCCATCACAGTTCACCATCACAAAGTTTGATATACTATGCGATTAATATTAAAATAAACAGTGACTTTACCAGCTTCAAGTTCAAGCAAGTAAGTTCAACTTTCTTAGTAAGGATTGCTAAAATAAGCACAGGTTAGAGGAATTAATCATTCATTCCTGCAGATTGCTAATATATTTCATCAGGATACTGTATGATTTGAATAACAAGAACAATTGCATAATAAAACACATTACTGCTGATATATGTAATTTTATCAACTTTAAGATGTAATTGCTGTCACGAGAGGTCCTTTGTGAAGTTCCCTCATGTTTCTACTGAATCAGTCTAACCTGATTTAACACTTTCCTTCATCAACAATTACAATCAAAATTCTGCATACCTATATCAAATATAACGCACACCAAAGTAATTGCCACAATTTAACTCAGATCATTTTATCTAATAGCAAGGAGTAATTACAGCAAAAGTAGAATATGTGTGAAGGTACTTTTCATACAGATAACAAAGAATTGCCAAGTGATATCCCTAGATTTACAGAAAACCTGGAAGACAAACAGTGAAGACCATGCTCTGAAATAATAAAGCCAAAAGCATGCTGTGATTCAAACTAAACTCAGCAATGTAGGTCATATGTAATTAGACAAATATATTTAAATATTTATTTTTTTTCCAATGATATTGTTAAAATAGATACTTTATCAGTTACTCAGTATCATACGCTGCACTGTGGGAGACTACCTAGCATAACAAAAAGCTTAACTTAATAAACTTCTCTGAAGTCTCAAAACAGTTCATGAAAATTATCTGAATTACCTGGATATATTATTTTAATGCTTTGCCCACAGGGAGCTCAACATAGCAATATGCCACTACAAAATTTTACTTCCTCAAAGAAAAAAAAAAAAAACCAAAACAAAAAAAAAACCTCTGCTTTTACATGAATGATAAATTTATAGCTTTTAAATAATAATGATAAGATTTCTTACTAAGCTAAGCTCATCAGGTATTTTCTGTGTCATAAATGTTACTATAAATTACCCAAAAAGTACTGTGATGTGAAATGAAATCACCCTGATTCAGTGCCTCAGAACTTATAGCCTACGCTTTGTAATTATTTCTAGCTTGAAGTTTATAAATACCTGAAAGCAACTCTGAAAACTGTCCTTCTCCCATTGCTGATCTTAGGCATTTCCACTCCTGTCACATGAATTTACTAAATAAATTTTGTCCAACTAGCTTTACTGATGTGAAAAAAACTGTTTCTTTACTTCACAAAGAAAAGCACTTTATTTGACCCTAATTAACTTTTACTTCTGGTGACATTTACTAGCCATGACTGATGTTGAACCATATCTGAAAATGTAACACGAATTTCACACTGAGATGCCTAATAAACATTAATTCTACACGTGTTTAACCACTTCTAGTGACAGATTAGATGAAAAGTAAAAGCATGACACATTAGACTAGAGTTGTACAGCCTAGAGTAACCCACTTATTATCCTATTGCACTGTAAAATAATGCGGATTTGCATGAATTTGTAAAGAAGTAAGTTTCTTTCATTCAAATTCATATTGCTCCCAGAAAAGGTACAATAAAACATGAAGTATTCAAATCCAAGTCCATTTGGCAGGAATACATTTAAAAAATGCTGAAATGTTATTGATTCCTTCTGCTACATTCAAAAAACCTGACTCAACTGTATTTCTACTGACATAACACAAAGCTTTTATTTAGATATTAGCAAGCACGAGCAAATGTTCTTCATTGACATACTTCTCATCTCTATTTCCTCCTTCTACCTAGGAAACAGTTAATCCTCAATACTGGCACTAGCTGTTTCCTGCAAGAGATGCAGCAAATGTCGATAAAGGGTCCACTGTCCCAAGGGAAATAATGCCTGCGAAAGTTCTCTTCCCTAGACGAAGATACATTTAGTGGTAAATAACACCTAACAGTAGACACATCATGACATGCCTCTGTTTGATCTTTGTACTTTCTGTCAGCTTTACTGCTCAGCTCAATCCTACTGCTCATGAGCCCCTTCCAAATGAGTTCACCCTTTTGTTTCCCCAAGATCTTCCTCCAAATATCGAAAAAAAAAAAAAAAAAAAAAAAAAATCAGAACTTTTGGGTGTGTTCCACAAAAGAACTTAGAAAACAGTGCTGTTTTCTGGATCTGCCATCCTCATTAAAAGAAAGGGAGGGGGGAGAGGGAGGGGGAAGAAAAAAAGAAAAGAAAAAGGAATACATTTTACACATATAAAACTTCAAGAGAAAAAGATAACAAATTCAGAGATGTGAACTAAAAAACGCATACATCTGAAAGCACAGCATATTTATAGTCCACTCACAGTTCACCTTACACTGCATGCCCTGTCACCTGGCATTACTTAGCAAGCCACAGTGCTTCAGACCTCTCCTGAGGGTGCATCTCTTTGTTTAGGTTTTGTCTATAAGCTAATACGTACCTATACTCAGACTAAGGTAGACACTACACAAAACATACCCAATTCTTGACCCAAACATTCATATCTAATATATATATTTTTTTCTCATAAGAGATAAGCAAACCACTTTATGCACTTTTTCCACTGGAAATAGTTCAAGTTACAACAACCAAGTTCCTCTCTGACCAGAACAGTGTGACTTAAGAGCATAAACCACACACACAAATACACACACACACACATATATACATATACATGTCTATGTGTGCATGCGTTTGTGTGTATATGCCATGAACACAGGGTCAGAAACCGAGCACGGAGCATTTACTTACTAATGCAGTCCGCTCGGACCTCTTTGGAAACCTGAAGGAGTCTCCGCTTTCCCTCCTGCCAGTCAGGCGCCGGGTTGTGCCCTTAGTCCACACAGGCCCCGAAGGAACTGTAAAGAGAGAGAAGCACATGCCACATCAGGCAGGTCTGTTTTGGCGGGGTCCAGCGCCGCTGCCTCTCGCTTCTTAGGGGTATCCCTGCTTTCCGAACAGACTCTTGCAAAAGAGTCATCTTTCCCAAGATTTTTGTTTTATTTTGTTTTTCCTACCATCGATTTTTAAAGCCCTCCCGAGGCTTCTGCGCCCTAAAATTTGCTTGGGGGCTGGCGAGGAGCAGAGAGGGTAGATACCTACAACTCTCTCCGATGAGGCCGGCAGAGAGAGAGCGAGGGATAGGAAAGAGGGAGGAGAGCGGCAGCGAGCGAGGGTTGGGGAGGGGGAGGGGGGTGCGGGCGGGGCGGGGGGCGGCGGAGCGTCTCCCGCAGGAGGTGCGGTGTCGGCCCGCTCTCCGCGCCCGGCACCGCTGGCTGCAGGCAGGCAGGCAGGCAGGCGGCGCAGGGAGGGCCGGGCCGGGCGGTGCACTCCCCGCCGCGCCTCGCGCAGCTCCCGCTGCTCCGCCCGCTCACCTGCATTTCCTTAACGAGCCACTTGATGGCTGCCAGTCGCGGCTGCCCCCCGGCCCTGCCGCAACTTCGGCACCCGCGGAGCCACCCCGCCCTCGCGGAGCTGGGGCTGGAGCTGGAGAGATGCCGAGGGGCTGCACTGGGCAGGCACGATGTTGGCTCCTGCCCGCGGAACTTTCTGCCAGGAGGCTGGGGCAAAGGGGCGAGGGTAGGGGCACAGGGAGGGAGAGGCGAGGGCTGCGCCAGGCCCCCGCAGGTGATTGCCGCGGCCGCGCAACGAACCCGGGAGCGGGGTACGCTCCGCTGCCGCCTCCCTCCGGCGCTGCCTCCTCCCACCGCTCTCCTCGTCGTGCGCGAAAGGAGCGAGTGATCTCCTCGCTATTAATAATAATAAGTCCTATCCCCAGTTTCCTTCTCTCCCTGGGAAAACAATTAATAATGCATTAAAATAATGCACCTTTAAAGCCACTAGCTGGCAATAATAAAATAATAATATCACCACCACTTAAGGGATCGCTGCCGTGGATGTGGTGGTTAGGCACGTTTTCCTATCGTTCACGCTTAAGTGTGAGCACAAATTACCCCTCTGGTATTCAAAAGTCCCTTTCCCACTACCAGAGCAACTATCATTATCACCATCAAAGAGAAAAGCTTTCTCCAAAGCTGATGGAGACACCTTGTCCCTGGGTAGCTGCTGTGGCTGGACTGCAAGGAGAACTCCCCCCTTCTCCCCTTCCTCCCCTTCCCTCCCTTCCGTTTGCCCCAAACCAATCTCGTCTCTTCTCCTCCTCCTCTGCTTATTTCGATGGGTTAAGCATAGCGTTTGGCCCTTTTAGTGTTTTCCCTTCCGTTCCTCCCTTGACGATAGTTTGTGTATTTTAAATAAAGATTTCATTCTGCCAACCCGCAGGAAGCTTTTAACAAGATGCAGCTGAGCGTGTCGATATCTTATATCTTTTTACTGCTGCTCCGGCGTGTACATCAACTCCAAACTCATTTCTTTTCTTCTTCTCCTGATACTGTAGCATCTCAGAGACGGCGGCGGCAGCAGCAGCAGCACAGCACCACTCCCGGGGGACACTTTTACTTTGCCCTCAAAGTATCTCCCAGCAATGAGAACGTCTGAATCCCCCACCCCCCCTTCACTACAGCAGAATGCTGGGGTGTTTGCTGCAAGATTCCCAGTCCCACTGACATCAGTAAGATCTGGGAGCAGACGGGGTGGGGGTGGGGAATTTCTTTCTGTTAGAATACAGTTTTGTGTGCTCTATTTTTAATTAAGATTTTTCCAGAAATAGGATCCCATCGAGATTTAATTTACAAAGATACCTCTAATGCTGGTCAATACTGTCTTCGAAGAGAAACATTTACAATCCCTTGTCTCCCCTCAACTGTGCAGAAATGCTCTTCATGGACTTTAAATCGTTTATGAAAGACTAGAAAAAATGTGTTGCTTTTTTTTGTTGTTTGTTTTTGTTGATGATGGTAGCTTTTGTTGTTTTGTGTTTTGTTGTTGGGGTTGTTTCGTTGTTTGTGTTTTGTCTTTTTTTTTCCTCACTTCATCCGCATTAAAATACATCTTTGTTCAGCATGCTGGTTATCTCTTATTGCTTTTTAAGAGACATATATAAGTGTATATTTTTTGCCCATCTGGATGGTTAGAATCAAGGTGTTTTCTTCCCGTAATTCACGTTTCTCAACCCTTAAATGCGTGGTTCTATCCCCTGGCACTCCGCGACAGCAGAGCCGCAGCCTCCTCCTCATGCTAAGCCTGCATGGGCTTGAACCCAACAAGATACACAGAGCAGGCCTACGGTTCAGTCAATGCTCTGCCAGGGGAGCCTCTGGCGAAGGATGCGAAGTGCAATCTCCTTCCCGGCCGCGGGGCGCTGCGCGGGGCGCTCCGCCTGCCTGCCCGCCGCAGGCGGATCAGCCCGCTGAGCACCGTGGGCGAGCCGGGTGAGCGCGGGGCGCTGCAGCCGTGGCCGCAGCTGGTCGGAGCTGGTCGCAGGTCAGCGGGAGTAACCTGCCTCCGCCCCGAGAAGGGGCTACCAGGAGCTGCAGCTCCTAAACATGAAGGCATGGTCGCACATGTTAAGGCTTCAGCTCCGAGGTTTACCTGCCAGCTTAAAGCGTTACCCTTAAACGTGTAGCACAAGCAGTGGAGACCTCCTTAGCATCACCGGTTTGTCTGGAAGATGCACTGCAGCTTAAGCTGACCTATTTTGTAGCGTGAAGATTTATGTTCAGAAAAAGATAAAAATAAAAATATAGAAGGAAAATCTCCTCCACATTAAAAGAAAAAAAAAAAAAAATTAAGTGTACATATACAAAAGGGGAGAAGGCAGAAGTATGTGCCTATCATATTACACACCTTTATTGAGGGACAATGTAACACAGTGAATGAGAAATACTTACTCCCAGGGCTTTTTTGCCTTTGGCAGAACACTAGAAATACTGCTTAAATTTTCAACTACTTTTCATCACTAATGTCTTCTTTACTAATATAAAACTTCTGATTTTATCTAAATGGTCAAACGCTGTCAAATACAGCATAGAAAATTAAACTAAGTTTTCTAACATTTAACGCTCCTTGAAAAATTGAAATTGTATGTCTTTCATTCCTCTACTCCTTTTGATCTTTGGCTTTTCCCTTTTGTTTGTTTGTTTATTTCCTTTGACTTAGATATCTTTTGTATCTCTGTATCTCATTTCTAGCTCTACTGCAAATTTCTTCACAAGAGCAAATTCTACAGTTTGTGTTATAATAATATACTTACCTTTCCTGAGTGCCCATTTTTAGTGCAATTTAACATCCTCAGTGATCACTTCACCATTACTTATATGCAGACAGAATGAAGCACCTGTTCTGCATCCAATGCATTACACTGTGCTTTTTTAAGTTTGTGAAGGGTGAGATGAATTCAAGATTAGAAAACGTTATAAAGGTGTTTGTGTGAGAACAAGTCTGAAAATCCATGGAAGGGAAAAAATCAAGCAGGAGCAAATGAGAAATAAAAATAAAATGTTCCAAACATTAGGGTAGGAAAGAAAAAATATATTTTTATCACATCACAAATATTAATAAAAGCTCCAAGCTTCATCATGTGCCAGGTTCTATTCAACAGATCTGTCATGAGAAATAACTAAGTTGAACCTAGAGGTAGTTAGTACTTTACGTGTATCTAAACAAGAGACAACATTAAACGTTATTTGTGCATTTGCTTTAGAAATTGGCTTAAGTATCAAATAATCTATTTTGTATAGCACCAACACCTCTTAGGGGATTGTTATTATTATTATTATTATTATTATTACTGTTATTATTATTATTTTGAAAGGCAACAGTGATAAGTATGACTGAGGTTGGATGTTAAAAATGGTGACAATGAAGGTAGTGCAAAGGAAACAGGAAGCCTAGAAAAACTGCAGATCTGACAGTTTTAGGGTGCAGAATGAGATCTTATTTTACTTCTCCCTTTAGGTCTGGTCTCTGTGGGCACAGACACTTTTAATTTTTTTCCCAAACAACTGAGATAACTCAGCCTTGTACTTTTTGTGGAGCATCTCCAAAGGAAAACCATAGATATTCTGGCATGAAAAGTATTAATAATCACAATGAACAAACAGAGACTGAATCATCCCCTCTCAAAATAAAATTCAGGAAACAATAGAAGAGGTATATATGTGGAGAAGAACACCAGAAGATATCTTTTGTGAAACTCCTCTTGATCAGGTTTTTAGCATCTCCTGCAATGAAATGAGAAGATGACCCAGAAATCTGTGACCAGCTGGAATTTAAAAAGGACAATTCCTTCTTTTTTTAAAAAAAAAAATAAAAAATAAAAAATAAAAAAAAAAAAAAAAAAAAAAAAAGACGTGCCTTCGGGCAGCTCGGAAGCCATGACAAAGCTCCATTAGCATGAACTGTGTGGCTGTAACTTCTCTAATTCACACTTGTCAGGACTAAACACTAGGGGAGGACAGAAAGTGTTTAAAGGAACAATTATACAATAGCAGTATTAATAGCACTCTTTCCTAACAGCCATGTCTCCAAGCAGACAGGTGAAAAGCTGCTAGTAAAAAGGTGATATATATTTTACTTCTCCATGTATGCAAAACATAACTGCCCACTGTTCAGATAATCAAAGTTTGTGTCTGTACTCTCCACACACTCCAAATTTGCATATGATGGGAGAAGCTAAGAAAGAATTGAATACATATGCCCAAATTTGAGAAAATGGGAAAAATTTATCTGAGAAAGTGTTTCCTACATTTGGATTATGTGATTCCTAAGCATCCTGCTGAAATACCCTATCATTTTCATTGCTGAAAATGGAGTTCATTTTTGTACAAATGAGTAGGCATGCATGCAGGAGCTTAAAATCTCATAGATAATATTATTTTTTTCCTGGAGAAGGACTCAGCTCAGGGAATATGATTGAATATAGTAATAGGAATTAAAAAAAAAAAAAAAAAAAAAAAAA